AATCCATATCCATTGTCATAGTGATATTCAAACAATGCCCCACAAGTAGGTAGGCAGCTCCTCACATGTGTAGGGGGCGCCATTGTCCGGCTTGTGCAATGCGCGGGCGCTGGAAATGGAGCGAGACGCAGAAGCTGCGGCGTCGCGGCTCGATACACAGCACACACACTAAACTATCTACTTGTAGAAGGTAGATCACACATCATCACTGTTCTTTTTTAATCAAATCACACATATATATATGTAGGTATGTTTGTAAGATTGATGTGTGCAGTAATGTTAACACAGTTCTCCCGAACACGGCATTGTGATGAGTTTATCGACTGTGTTAAGTGGCTATCTAAGAAAATGGAAATGTTTTCAGATTTTATAATACATACAAACATACTAAATTACTTAAAAATCGCGGGTTACTCACGTGAATATACTGGGAAAAGCACTAGTAGGAGTAAGCTGCGCGACATCGCCGCGACCGCGCACGCTGCTCATGAGGAAGAACCCCTCTGTGTTCGAAACTAGTAGAGCTGTTTTCAGATTGATATTGCAACGAAAGAATATTAATCATGTATAATTTTATGACAATTGTAGTAGCTACGTGAAGTATAAAAATCAAACTTCGAAGATTTCTATTGTGTGATTCTAATGATGATCATAGTAACACTTATTTTCTAAGAACACAAATATAAAGGAGCCTAAGACAGTTGCTTTATAGAAATGAAGTCTATGCTATTCAATTTATATGCAGTTAGTGCAACCAGACAGCACGTCTGCAGACTCAACATCCTTGTAAAAATCACGATCATTCGAAATGTCTTTCACCTAGCAAATAGTTGCAGTTTCGTGGGAACTGCACCGGCACAGCTATGTGGCAGATGAGATCGTACATTCGTATGACGCGAGCACGCACCTCAATTCCCAATCACTTCTGGTCAGTACCGGCTGTTAGGCTGTTACACTGGAATGTGTTATCGATCGTGTTCGCTAACCAATCGCCACTGATAACGGAAGACGTGTGAAACCAATAGAGCGGAACTTGTGGTAATTCGACCGGATCTCAGTGTAAAAAAGACGATGTAGTATTTTTATGATATCAGATCTATAACGATGTTTTTTTTTCGAGAACTTTTTACGCTTTTTCTCTGTGTGTCTTAGTGACCTTGTTATTGCTATGTTTGGATTTATTTTACAAGTTCACTAGTAGACTACGGTATAAATTATTGATTGATAGAGTATTATCTGATTTTTTTAAAATTAATTTGTAAGGTCCGTGATGAACTACCTCGTTGGCCGAGTGGTCGCAAGTGTTACTGCCAGGCAAGGGGTCTCGGGTTCGATTCCCGGGTCGGGCAAAGTATTACTGGGTTTTTAAAAATCACAGTAGTAGCACGGAGTCTGGAAATGTGCCCGGTATATGGCAATAGGCTCACCCCCTATTACATGGGATTCATAACATAAGTAGTGAAAAGTGGGTGTTATATTGTACTTGATTGTACAGTGCCGTAATGTGCACCTCTGCCTACCCCTTCGGCGATAAAAATTGATGTTATATTATGTTAGATCCGTGATCTGTCAAGGTATAATATTAAGTTTCGTTTTGTCTTGTAGTGATTAAAGCACTTTATCAAAAATCTAATAACTTAAACTCATTAAAAATCCTCGTCCCAATTAAACTTAATCCTTACTTGTGTACGACTTGTTACAAACATAGCTAGAGTATTTTAACTGCAAGTTGAAATAAAGTAAGCTACATGTTTACTGTGTGTAGCAGACAGTTAAAAATGGTCACGTTTCTAAAACCACAAATCAGTAAAAAATGGGGGCAATGAGTGCGAAGCGGAGTAGATGTGATTACTTTACTTATTCCCAACTTAGTGTTAAAATGGATCCCTCACTAACTTATTCTGAACTTGGTACTTTGGGACTTGGAACTTTGGATAGCCGTCGGGTGGACGCAAACAGGTGACCTTATCCTATCATGTAATAATTTTTTAAATGTTTAATTTTTCCCTTTCAATACTACACAACTCAAACTTTTCTTAGATTAAGAGAGATTGTCAACATTGTAGTACTGGGATTGTAAAATGTAAATCGCGTGTTACTGTAACACGTATAAACAGCTGAAATAATCAAATGTTTTCATGCAACGGAAGAAATATTTATTAAAAAACATTAGATATATATAAGTTTTTTTTTTATTTCACTGCAGTTATGTTTAATTGTTTGAAATTAGGTTAAAGATTGGAAAATATGTAATTTATTACGTCATAAAATTAGCAAAAATAATTTATTAAAATAATTATTTCGAGCAGAATTTGGTGAAACTTGTTATTTATTGATTTTAGTTTAACAGTTTTAAAAATATAAAATATATCATTCATTAAGTTTCAAATTGCTGAACCTATAAATCGTATAATAGATTTACGTAATTCACCTATATCAGAGATAAATTAGTTTCCTTTAGTTACCCATATGGAGAAATGAAAAATAATATGATTCCAGTAACTCCTACATAGGGAAACTCGACATTATTTCTTCGTAAACATTTTATAACAGTTATAGATAAAAAATATTATAAATAAAATAAGACAATCAGTTCGTTCGTCGACCTATTCCCTTAAGTACATTCAAAGCATATTAGTAATGGTCACTGAGTTCTCTGACCATTAAAACGGCATCTGTGTCGTCAGCAGCGGAAGCTATGCGCCTGCGCAGGTCGCTTCCCGCCATTACCGATCGCCACGCTCAATTGGCCACCACGCCATCTATCGGTGATTTTGCTGAGGTAAGTTGGGAAATGGAAAATCAAAATGGAAATGAAATTGTAACAGAATCCTAAGGTTACTATCTAACAATAAATTCAAGGTCTAGTTGAGGCTTTCTTTTTCTTTTATGTTCATGGCCCTTATTTTAACGTATTTATTTAAGATAAATTAATTTATTTAATATTTTTTGAATGCAAATCAAATGTTTTTTTTTAAACTATAATCCTAATTAGTTCAATTTAATATATTTTGGTTTCATTTATGATATAAACCAATTAATAAAATTAAAACTAAAAAAAATCTAATTTTAGTTCAAAAAATAAAAATAAATTAAAAAAAATCTAATTTTAGTTCAAAAAATAAAATTTACTAATTTAAATAAAGGGATAATTGGAAAAATTAATGCAATTTCTACATCAAAAATTAAAAAAGTAACTGTAATTAAAAAAAATGTAATGAAAATGGGATTCGGGCTGATGATTTAGGGTCAAATCCACATTCAATTGGTCAACACACACACATCCATCTTTTTTCCTATTCTATACTCTATATCTATAATTATTTTTAAGAAAAAATAATTTTTAATAGGTTACTTAAACTTAAACCTTATGTTTTTATTGCGATGTCCATATAACCACACTTCTCAATAAAAACTCTAATAAATTTTAATTACGTGTCGAAACTATAAAACATACAATACCTATTATTATTTCCGCTGTTTCCGTACTTTTCAAATACAAACACTATTATAATAATATTATTCATGACATTGAAGTTTGGCACGAACGTAAAATTTTGCTACATAGTTATAATTCTGCTCACGATATATGTTCATATATAGCCATGTAATCAAGTTATACATAACCAGTTTCTCATGATTCCGCTTTGTATGAGCATTCCGGCCATTAAACGATCAGTTTATACTGGGTACATAGCTTGATGTATTGCCGTGTGTATTTACTACGGAAGAGTGACATTCGCTGCGCATTATCATGTTTTGCCAGCATACATTACTATACTTATTATTAGATTACATTCGATTACGGAAGCTAGAATATACTGGTAGAATTTTGATGAACAGAAAAGTCAATGAAGAAAACAAATACGCAGAATTAAACTCTTTTGTGTTAGGAAAAAGACTGGAACACTGGACAACGAAAATCAAGCTCGGGGACTCGTAACAAAATATTTTCGTCGTATCACATACACTAACAGCCAAATTTTTAAACTGTAGATTACCTGTAGATTAGAATCGATTTAAAAAAATAAAGACAAACGAAAAGTTAGAACTAAAAAGAAAAAAAATAACTATTATTGGTCATACGTAGATACTTATAGCTTACACACCCAAAAAAATACATATATACGGTCGAATTGAGAACCTCCTCCTTTTTTTGAAGTCGGTTAATAAAAACTCCATACAACGAATTTCAAAAATCGATCCTTGTCAACAGATTTTTGATTAAAACAAGTTCTACCGTGAAACTTGAACACATGCAAAGCTGTGTTTGTATGTAAAAGCGAATATGTAAAACCGACCTGAATTTTCACCACAGTGTACCTTGCATACTTTTAATTGTAAATTAAAATTATACATGCAGATTTCCTACGAGCAGTCATTGGAGTCAGTATGTCGTTGCAACGTGCAACAAAAAAATCAACTCATGCGCAAGTCTGATCATGTTCTGTATAACTATTGGCATAGATACGCTTTGTGATAGGATCCGGGTGGTAGACCTTAATGAGAGGAAAGTCGAACTTATTTCATCGTTTTTATGAAGATTTTGATTGAGATGAGAGAATATTTGTAATGGAGATCAACTTATAGTAGTTGATACTAGTGATGTGTTAGTACTGTGTTTGATTTCTTTGACGATAATAGTGACGCTATTAACAGTTAGTTGGTTAGTTACAAAATTGGTCTGATAGTAAAAATTTATAAAGTTATGTAAGGTATGTTCGCCAAAAATGGCCCGCTTCCTGAGACGGGCCACTTAAAAAATATGCAGTTATGATTACTTTTTTCGATATCTTGATTGTCAAATAAATACATTACAACTTCCAATATATTTCTTGTCTTGTCTATTACTATTTATCTACAAGATTATACAAGGTTTTGAAATAAGGTGGGCCCTTATTAGGCGACTGTACCTTAGTAGCATAGATAGACATTTTATTGGAGCGGGTCTAAAAATATAAAAGTGCGAATAAACATTATTTGCAAAATAGATTACTTACAGTTTTCTGTTCCTCTCTGTGTATCCGAATCCCAAAGAAAAACACCTGTAATCAAGAAAATTGATATTAATATAAAGAATTCATGTCACATACTGATATGTTTCTGTTATACGTATATTTCTCCACTTTATCATGCTTCAATAGTATATAACCTGTATAAAACCAAAATAAATTCAAAAATCTTAATTTTTTCGTCTACCACACTTCGGCACGAGCATCAAACAACCTCCATAAGATATAACTCACATTAACATCCCTAAAGCAAACATTTACGAGATGTCAGACACTTGTGTCGACACTATCATTTACTGGTAATCGTGTAGACATCGACACCTGGGCCATTAAATCTACGATGTACAAAAACAGGCCGTGGTACAAATAGTCGCTGAGGAAATGGGACGGCATTCCTAACCCTATTACCGCGGTCTGACATGGTGGCGCTACTGGTGACCAGTGAAACTTGACCCCTAATTTTTGAACTTGTAAATTAGTTATTGTTGTTTGTCTTGTCAAAGAAAAATTATAAAATCGAAACAGTTATAAAATCGAAATATGGCCAATTAAAAAAAAAAAAATGTATACTGATTCCAGTATTATTTTTTACAGTTTATAAATAACGCAGATAATATTTTCTTGAGAAATACCTATAAGAAAAGATTAGAAAAGACATTATATGCTAATAATAATCTGAACAATATCTTCTATGGGTCAACAGACATTTCTTAACTTAACTGCAGAATAAAAGTGACATTTGAAAGGTTTTATGGAAGAATTGTCAAATAATAAAAAAAGTTATGTTTTGGTCTGGTCAAAATAATGCATTTGTTTATGACTGACAACATAGATACATATTCCTAAGCTTATTAAACATAGAAATAAGATGCGATTGTATGTAGGTTCCGTATTCCTCCGTAGGTCAAGATATACTGGTCTCCAACTATGTTTTTGTAGTACAATAATATGTCAGGCTCTTTGTGTACGCCGCCCGCACATTAGTGACACGGTCATCAAGGTAGCAGGTTTGAATCCAGAGCAGGGATGCCCAACGTTTGACTAGTATAACTAAAGCTAGTTACTTGGTTTAAAAAATGAAAGTTGTACTGAAATTTCAAATTGTAAACAATAATCGTTGGTAATAATAATAATTAGGAAAATACTCTTTAGAGAAGTTTAAAATTTTGCACTGGAGAAATAATTGACCGCCGTATCATTATTATCAGATAGTTAAATCATAGAACTGTGTTAATTAATAACAGGCATTGTTTGATAAAAATAATGTCTGATCTTAAATTAACGAAACAAAATTCATCTTAGGAAAATGTCTTCGAAATTTAAACAGTCACGTATAAATCCTTGATTTCAGTCAAAAATGTTGACAATCCCGCAGCTAAGCTACAATTGTGTAATCAGTACCTACAGGTTAGGTAAGTACATAGAGATTAACCACACTGATCCAGATTATACACTTAATACAGTGGCAGTCGCCACTAACGGTTACAATAGGAATTTTTGCTCATTATGTCGTTTAGAATTCATAAATATTAGTAATTATTTCTTTAATATTCCGATTAAATAAGAAGGTCTCAGAGTAAGAAGACTCAATTTCTTTGTGAGCCACGATACTTAGGTAACGATTTCCTGTGTTTTTTTCTTCCATACAAAAATTTTGCTAAGCCCGAAAAGGACCAAAAAATTTCAAAAATTATACAAGAGCTGACCATCAATACATTGCGCCTAGCCAATTAAAAGTAATGTTAAAGATAAGTAAATATTTGAAACCTTCTCAGCATTAACCCACGCGTACAAAAGGTACTCAGACTGTCCCCCAATTGAATAGTTTCGGTTCACGACTCCGCCAACAAAAAACTTTCATTGTCTTTAATCTTTTACTTCCGTAACCTGCCGCAGTGCCCTTTGTAAACAAAACAAAAAATAATTATATAACACATGTGATTCAATACTATTGTGCTGTCACCAGCACATCAAGCTATTCCAAAATAATTTAAACTTTAACACAAAATCATAAGGTTAAAAATCTTTAAAACATGCCTGATTAGTGGAGCTTGACCTGCCAAAGTTCCCATAGATGAATAAATAAAAATTATATTTTTTTCTTTTTTATAAAGATGGCACCGGTCATTGCTTTCACTAGCAATAATGCCTCCCATTCACTGCGCGACAACGTGCGACTTACGTAACTATGATCGAATGCCGCATTGTCGGCTTTACACCTTAAATCAATACACGATTTGCAATTTAGTATAATATAGAAATATCCGTTATTTAACTGATTGGAATAAATGGCCGGATCAAATTATGATATTGTTATTTTAATGACTTGTCAAATATGATAATTTATTGTCTACACGCAATTTTAAGAGAAATTTGAAAAACTGTCGTGACTGTGTTTTGATTAACTTTCAACTACATTTTTTTGTAAAATAATATTAATATTAACGTTACTCATTGGTGAAATTCGAGAGCTTGTCAAAAGTATTATTTACAACTTACATACACAATAATATATAAAACCAATATAAATATTAAAGGTCAAACTTCACCTAATTAAATGACCAAAAATCAATAAAATCAAATGTTTGAAATCAAACTTCTAATGAAATAACACTGTTAACACAACTGTAATACTGTCTTCAAATCTAATTTTAATATAGAAACCAAATTAATAAACCGGCGGTCAGATTAAACCGACACCGATACTTAGTTTAACTAAACCGAGTTACGTAACCGTAGGATACTTTGTAAAGCAATTAGTTTCATTTAGAGAAAGTTTGTAATTTATTGTAGAAATTATTTATTAAGCTTCGATTTGATTACGGCCGTGGGTGTGTGGGTGTGTGGGGTGAATGTGTTTGTACTGGCCTTTATTACTTAGGAAGGAAATAGGAAATACCTTAGTACTTAATATGTATGTGTTTTAAAAAAACGTGAGAAAATATTTGGCTATGCGTAATACTGATAACGATGAGTTTATTGTGTTATTTTATAAGGTGTTATTAGGTGTGGATAAAATAATAAGTAGCAGTTTATTTATTTACTACATAGGGATACTTAAATAAGATAGGAACCTGATTAATAAATTTACTATTTATTCACAATATGGATTAAGTATCAAAAATTGGAAGCCTCATCCATACATTGTAGGTCCATATATAAACTAATTTACGAACTTATGTAGCCACATAAGAATTAAGATTCAAAATTGTATGATCAGTTTTTAAGACGTCTATCCAATACGAAAAAGAATTATTTAGTTCGATTCAGTAATTTTAAACATTAGCGCGTTCAAATAAGTAAACTCTTTAGCATTATTAAAGTATAGATTTGATATTATTAAAATGCTCGCTTGAAAAGCACGATTTTATATATTTTCCAATACCAACGATTCTCACCCATATTAGAAAGCTTCACAAACGATATGTAGAGAGATTTAAATTGTTCATTTACAAGTAATAAACAGGCCATTTACTGTAGAAAGCATATTGCAATGATATTTAACGACAGGCGACGACAAATGATAAAGCGTTTAGTAATATACAGACAGACTAAAATACTATTATATTATTATATATGGTTATCGAAAAGCTGTCATTAGTGCTTATAAGTGGGTGGTCATGTTAAAATGCATCTTTACGGTAATATAGTATTATGTATCTAAACTGCGTTTAAAATGACGTTTAGTTTAGTAGTTAAAATGTTATGAAACTTTAGTCTATCGAATTCTTAAGGAATTTTGTTCCTATAAGCGTCTGTGATTTAGATTAGCATTAATAGAGAATTAAAATATAAAGCTTTTTATTACGTGAAAAGTTGATCAGAATCATATTTGTAACACCAACAGAGCGTGTATCATTGTTCGACAGGCGCAATTCAAGAAGTAGAAATCGAACCTGAAACCAAACTCAAGCTGAGCCGTGACTTTTAGGACTAACCATTTTCTATTTCCTACAGTATATTGAATAAATATTTTTTATAAATATGAGAGTTATAATTAAACGTTAGAAATCATAAGGAGTGAGACGAATCATTAGATAGAACAGACTAAGTCAGATATCTGGCTGTATGGCTGTATCGTGTGATCTAGGTGAGGAGACGGACGCCTGCGTGGGCGCAGCCGTGCGTGCCCAAATACTATGGTTGCCATGGAAACTGTGCGGTGGAAAGTTGACAATTTAAATTAGTATATTACTGTTAGATCAGCAGTCTACTCTAATTAAACTGAAGTAAACTGCAGATGCGTAGTTACATGAAAAATATTTGTAGACTGTGTTGATAACAACTTATTTAACCTAATTTTATAAAAAACTAGTGAGTAAACCCGGCGAACTTCGTTTCGCCTTTCGGCTTCGTTTTATGTACGTTTGGTGATTAAAAGATGAAAAAAATTTTTTTTTCCTAAATTTTCTTTACTACATAGGTATAAACCTCACGGAGCCCGAGACCTTTCCAACGAATGCAAACCCGTGGAAATCGGTTCGTGCGTTCTGGAGTTATAGCGTCAGGAAGGAAACCCCGACTTATTTTTATAGTAGATGAAATCTGTTTCGAGTTTCGATTGAGACAATGACTTGTTAAGAAGGATTTTGCCAAGTCAGTAGAATAATCTAAGTTATAATGTCATACGCTATTGATTACTTTATATTTATGGACTAAGTTCAGTTCAATATTCAATTAGGTATTATTTTGAAATACCCCCTATAGTTTCTAATACCAATTCGGATCTAACCTGGCAACCCTGGAAACACATAGATATGTGTAATTGGCGTCCGTGTCCTTCCGATATTTATGCGATATGCGGAGATAAGCGGGAAACGTGGCCTCAGCGGCAGCGGGCGTTACTTCTATATGTAATGGCGGGCCACGCAGTCCTCGGTGATAACCCCGCCCTACCAAACACATAAACTTATGTCATTATTGGGATACAGGAACTAGGGAACTACTCCATTCTTTACGACTAAATCTTGCGTTATCAGCCACGGATTATATTTACTATTTGTATTCATTGCAGCTACTTAGTAACATAGATA